CTCGATCGCCCGACGCACATCCCGATTTGGTTTACAACTTTCGATGGGACCGGCAGACGCGAGACGAGAGGGACGAACTTTAAGTGGATTGCACTCGGCACCGACTATGAGCGCGTGACTGCGTGTACATGTGCACGCGGCCAAGGACAAAATCCTGACAAAATATGACGTATTTATCGAGCTGTATATTCTGAATGCATATTCCGAACTGGCGTCATCGCGAGACGTGCGATTGAGAGAGTAGGGGTAAGAGTGAAAGAATCAGCGCGGCCATCTCGGCGCGCTGATGGATCCCGAGCTAATATGAATTCGCAATCGGATGTCGCTCTCCTGTCGCGTACTCTTCACTCATCGGAAGACGAGCTACAATCCCTCCCACCCGAGTGCAATATGCATAGGGTCGCGTTGAACGGTTCGGGGCGTGTTTGCAGTGTCTTGCGCTCGCCGATCGCTTCCGGCCATATCGGTAACGTAATTTGCCCGTTTTACCTTCGCGCTGTGTAATCCCGACGCGCGCTTACCGCTCGGTATTCTGTCTTACCGTGAGAGAGGAGGGTGGAGATAGAGCCGATTCGTAAAGCAAAGGGATATATACTCACCCCGCGAGAGTACGTATTTTCGGCAGGACCGGGGGAAGGAGAGACTCGGGCGAAATCACTTGAGGATATCGGGAATAGACTGGCCCGCGAAGTAGCGAACCATCGGAATCGGCGGATCGATAACTCGGGGTGGGGGCGGGGGAGGTTAATGTTGGATAATTCGAGCGGGACAGATTGCCCGGAATCCCGTGGGTCCGGCGCTGCCGGCGGATAATCCCGGAGAGACACTTCGATAGGACTGTCTCGACTTTTGACAAATGGCTCGCGCTGGACGTCTTACGGCCAGCGTTCTCATTCGCGATGACGTCCGCCTCGGTGACTGATGATCTCGCGTGCGCGCGTCAATTCTCCGCCGGTATATCATCTGGTTAGAATAGAGAGAGAGTCCGATTTCCAATTACCGAGACACCTCGTGGTTTCTTCCTCTTGTGTTTTTGTTTCTTTCCTTCCTCCTTCTTGTCCTTTTGCGATACTTTAGCGTATTTGCTTCGAACGTCGGCGCAAATTGTTCTCGAGTGAATTAGCTGTCCGAGGATACAATGGGTTCCATCCGGGTTTTTCAATCTTTATCGCGTGCACCGTGTCTGTTGGAAAAATTATTTAATCTTCGTTGGAGCGCGATCCGTTTCTTCGACACTGCTCGATACTGCTCGTCGCGATACTCATTAGAGATATTTTACTGTCTCCTTCTTTCCCTCCCTCCCTCCCTCCCTCCCTCCCCCTTTCTCACGATCCACTTTCGTAAAGACCGCTGTAAAAGCGTGCAAATTCGCCATTATGCGATATCGCCGCGAGATCGATAAATGGCACGGCATACAATTCTCTCTGTTTTATATCGGCCGTCATCGAGCGGGCGCGCGTAAAACCTTTAATCAGGATGCCATGTCGGCTTGACGGCCGATCGGCGCGGATATAATCAGACGAATAAATTCGGTATTGACCAGTAAACGTATATACGCGCGCGCGTAATCGCGGACACATATCGGCGTGACCGACATCGCCGTGACATCTTTCCACGGCATAGCGCGGTAACGTATCGCCGCGACACAATGTCGCCGCGCTGAAAAACGAATCTTCGGCGTAGCCGGGCCCCCCCCCCTCCCCCCGCCGTGGCTCAGAACCCCGCGCTACTACGTAACGCATCCGTGTGTTTTCGTGCGATCCTACTCTCCATTTTTCTTCCTCACTCTCTTACGTATACAGTCGGCGGCTGGTTACCCTTCCTCCCTTGGCTGCCCCGGCCGGCGAATGTTGCCGGAAATGCCGCAGCTACCATCCTCTTCTGCCTTCCACGTCACGTCACGTACCGAAAGAGATCCACCGCATACGGGGGAGGTTCGATAGGACCGGGGACCTAACCGTGTCGCGACCGCGCGATGACGATGAGGATGGCGCAAGACAGCGTCGTAGAATCGGAACGAGATAACCGGAAATACCAGGATCCTATCGAGACTTTTATGCCATCCAACTAGCGCTCGCTTCTGTTTCTTTCGTTTCCACTGTCGCGAATAGGTGGTGGGCGGACGAGCGAGCGAAAGCAACGAGCTTCGGATCGATAATGCGCCGGGCTATGCCTGTCACTCGACAGCTATGTACTTCCGGCCGCGTTAGCAGAACCGTAAACTAAGAGCATCACGTGGCATTATCTCGATCCGGTTCATTAACATAGTCAACGCCCGCCGAATGGACTCGCCGAATCGTACCTGACCAACTTACGTCCTCGTTTTATGCGCGATAAATCACCTCCCAGTGACGCGCGTGCTTCGGTCACCCGTTCGGCCCTTGTGATTCCGCAGTTCGCTTTGAGAAGTAACAACGAGGCGCGATTGTCAGATGAGAATTTTTCCTTCTGATCTCGATTCTTTTTCATTGCGTTTGCGACGCGATTTCGTCGCACGTTTTACACTTGTCCGATTAAGGGGACTGGAGGGTCAGATTACTGAAAAATCGTGCTTGTTTTTTTGATAATATTTTGTGACGAACAGAATAAATGTGCAAGAATAAAAATTTTTGATATATTTATATAACATATAAAGAGTGGAAAAATTTTGTTTATTAACAAATATTCATATAAATATACTTAAATTTTAAATTATACTTAAAGTCCACTTCAATTTTAAACGCGTTTCTCTCGAAATTTTATTGTTCAACTTTTTGCAGTGATTTCTCCGAAACTGAGCTTCGTATCGATTTAAAACTTTCGAGCAATAATATTTGTTCATCTGGCTCTCAGAACCATGGTGAACAACTCCGTCTTTCAAATATTTCATTTCGAGATATTAATTTTTTATTGCAGAAGAACTGAAAAATTTGAATTTTTTCCTAATAGCTACCATTTTGTTAATTTTGTTGGTTTTTTTTTTGTAGTGCTTCACCGGATAATGATAAGCCTCCTTAAGATTTCTAGCTAAAATTCGCTCTGATCGGATCACCGAGAGCCGAGATATTACTGCAAAAACGATAACTTGAAGAAATAAAGGAGAGTATATTTCAGCTATATATATCGTATATCTATATGAGTATTTGTTAATAAACAAAATTTGTCTACTCTTCACATGTTGTATAAATATACCTAAAATTTTCATTCTTGCACATTTATTCAGTTTATCGCAAAATATTGTCAAAAAGAAGCATGATTTTTCTGCAATCTGATCCTCCAGTCCTCTTAAGATCCAACCTTCCGCGACAGACAGACAGACAGACAGACAGACAGAGAGAGAGAGAGAGAGAGAGAGAGAGAGAGAGAGAGAGAGAGAGAGAGAGAGAGAGAGAGAGAAAGAGACGATAAATTCGATAAGAGCACAGAGACGTCCGTTAGCAAGGAAATAAATAATATTTCTCCAGTCTGGGGACAATCGAGTTACGTTGAAAGAATTCGAGTCTACTTATCTCGCCAAGTGCTAACACCCTGTCCGTGTACTTTGCCGCTTTCGCCGGTCAACCGAACTTCCACGCGGAGGGAAAGTAGAGGAGAAAGAAGAGACCACGTCCACGCGCCGGTGCGCCGTGAATCCTAGATTCTTCTCGCGGTTCTTGTCGCGAAATATTGAAAGTCACTCGGGAAACGTCGGCTCTTAATATTCGTCTCATAAATATTCCCCTGATATTCTTCTCGGAGCCGCTTCACGGGGTTCTCACGCTCATTGAATCGCGCGCGGCAAAAGTGCAACTAACGGGGGCTGTGAAACCGGTAATCTCAGACATTTACATGGTCTACTTTTCGCTCGTGCGGCACGACGCGCCTTCTGCTCCCGCGTACAAGATCGAGTGTCCCACCGTGTTCCCTTCTACTCGCGCGCGGCGACGGCTTGCTTCTCCTCGTGGGCTGCGCGAAGCGTTTCGCGCTTGGTAAACTCGAATGTCACGAAGCGGGCCTCATTTTCATCGCTTTCCCGTCACTCCCGTGTTCGACGCGCGACCTCGTCAGCAAATTTCTTTCTTGCGACGAGCGTACAAGCCATGAGAAGTCTCGCGAGCTTGCAAAGGGCAATCGAACGCTCTTGAAACTATCAGGGCCTCGTCGGGAAGTTCGTCGAGTCTTCGATGACTTGATTGCCTTGGCAGACGAGTTATTTTACGGGGTCGGAAATCGGGCTAATTGTACAAACAATGAAAGTGGTGGACGACAACGACAAGTAGTTCGCTCGCACTTGTAATATGCAGCGCACTTGTATCCGTGGTTAATGACAGAAGTACGGCTGGAGGATCGTAACGAACTTTCGCAGGCGTTTAATACGTATCAGCCTGATTGGGAGAGAACATCATCCCCGATATATTTTGCATTTGAAAACACCTACCTTTCGGTTCGCTTGTCACCGCGACACAATGATGTATCTCGCATAATGGCGCGCATTGATCGATACGCACGCGAGTCTCCGATCGGTACTCCTCCTCCTCGTCGCCCTCGATGAAGAAATATCTCTTCCCTCGGCTCAGCGCTGCGCACAACGACGTATGCGTACATAAGATTAATTGGATAATTTTCTCGAATGATTTGACCATGGGATTTGTCGAACTGGTTTAGCCCGTGACTAACGACGAAGCTCGCTAACGACCTGACGATCCCCTTTACAATGGTCTCTTTTGTGCGTACGTATGAAAATAATTTGCGAGACGACAGATGGATTATTACCGTTGGCGTCGCGATCCCGGGCCGACCGCGACCGCGACAGACCGTAGCCACTTTCTCTACGGTGCTCTTTACACTGTCTGCGATGCACATCCCAAGGACCTCTTTCTCCTTCTCTTACGCTCGATTGGAAAATTTAGCGCAAGCGGGCTGGCTCAAACGTCGTCTCACGTTTCTCGCGCTGGAGAACGCGCGCGCCACAAAGGCGGATGACGATCCGTACGGCATTGAAAGAAAACACAACGACGCTTTTCGTTATAAAATGAGTTTATTTTCTCTGTACCATATATGTACAACGTGTGTGTTACGGTACTGACATATACGACGTTCGGCGAGAAAGATGCGTCTCGATAATGTAGAAAAAAAAA